AGAGAGAGAGAGAGAGAGAGAGAGAGAGAGAGAGAGAGAGAGAGAGAGAGAGAGAGAGAGAGGGAGGTTGTGGTGGTGGTGTCGGACAGTAATGGTGGTGACGAGAGACGGTTTCAAAAGGAGGACTAGATTTTTGACCCGCGCTTAAAAAGCGCGGTACCATTTTCGTTGTTTTGTCTTCAGATAGATCGATAAGTCTTGTGCTTTGATGATATAAACTATCACTATCTAATATAACTTTTCAAAATCAATTCAGATTTTAATTTATTGTTTTCATCAATATATACGCAAATGTATTGTATGTAATTGTGTAGTTTTACTATGAGAAAATAATATTAATTAACTACGTCTGCTGCTGGGAAGCGGGTCAAACTCGCCTTGCCTGACCCACAAAGAAAATATATTTTATCTACATCCGTCCTACTTAATTTTACGGGTAATTCGCAGAACCCGCAAATAATTATTAAATAATAAAAATAATTATTTTTATTATTAAATAGTATATTTTTAATATTTAAAATCTAATAATTATTTTAATGACATTTAGTATATTTTTTATAATAAACTTTTTAAAACAAAATCGTTTTTCTATTTTTGCGGATCACCGGGTACCCGCAATTGAAATTGGTACAATCAGCACCCGTTCCGAGAAAAATACACTTGACCCGCACCCACAACTTAATTTTTTTTAAATCGATCAACCCGTTCCGTGGCGAGGAAAATGGGGCGAGACTCGCGGACTAATATCAAAATTCACAGCTTTAACTACGTCAATTAAAATTGATGTATTTATTTTTAAGGAAATTGCAGAAATAATTAAAAAGTGAATTGAACCCATTAATGAAACTCATTAGTATATAGTTTTTAGGCCCAAAAAGAAAAGACAAAATTGCTATTAATGAAAAATTAAATTTGTTCATAAGATTAAAGGTAAATTTGGAAAAAATAAATTATTTATTAAAAAGAATGTTTATGTTTTAATGGTATTGATATGACAAGCTTACCAAAGATAAGAAGATTAAGGAAGACAAGAGATTAGATAAAGAGATGAGAAGATTGTAGAGGATCTTGAGAAGATTGATAATTTTTTGAGCTCTATGAGAAGAATTGCAGAAGTCGTGAAAAATCAAAAGAATAAAAATAAAATAAAAAAGAATACTTATATCCGTTAGATTAGAATCTATCAATGGTAGGGATTAATAGTTTAGTTATCCTCACCACTCTGAATTAGCTTCTCTCATTTGTCAAGGTTCTTAAAGTACAGATTTTTTTTTCTTTGTGTTTTACCCAACATGTTCAATTGTAGCATATTCAAAGTTACAATCAAATGATCATAGATGCTATTAAGAAAAAAAAAAACAGAACAGTTACACACAAGCCTTGGAATAGCCATTTGACAAGCTAACCTTGTATCAAGCAACCAGAAGGACATCGATATGACCGAGAACGGGCTATGAACTGAGGAAGCTCATAAGAGACTGTAACATCCCGAGTTGTGATATATGAAAAGGCTTAAGAGAATTGATTTGGCTACTTTTGTCACCAAAGTGCACTTACCTTTTTGGGAGCACATCCAGAGAGAACTCCAGAGTTAAGCGTGCTTGAGCTGGAGTAGTCAAAGGATGGGTGACCTATCGGGAAGTGATTTGCGATATCGTGTAAGTGAGGCCAAAGCACGGGGAAAGTTCGGGTGGTGATTGCAGGGTCAGTAAACATGACTCTAGAGCCTTGAAAAATTAACGGACCGACCGTTGGAACGGGATGGGGCCCATGGGCCGAGAGAGCGGGCGTGGGTGGCCCATTAGCCGTGGGCGGTCGGGGCGTTACAAGTGGTATCAGAGCCGAACCCCGACGAGTGTGGAGTCAGTGAGGGCTCACACTAACAAGGGTAACGATCTTGGGGCGCAATAGGGACGTTGCGTTCTTTGAGAGGGGGTGAATTGTAACATCCCGAGTTGTGATATATGGAAAGGCTTAAGATAATTGATTTGGCTACCTTTGTCACCAAAGTGCACTTACCTTTTCGGGAGCACATCCAGAGAGAACTCCAGAGTTAAGCGTGCTTGAGCTGGAGTAGTCAAAGGATGGGTGACCTATCGGGAAGTGATTTTCGATACCGTGTGAGTGAGACCAAAGCACGGGGAAAGTTCGGGTGGTGATTGCAGGGTCAGTAAACATGACTCTAGAGCCTTGAAAAATTAACGGACCGACCGTTGGAACGGGATGGGGCCCACGGGCCGAGAGAGCGGGCGTGGGTGGCCCATTAGCCGTGGGCGGTCGGGGCGTTACATAGACATTTACAACTGCCAAAGTTCCATGTTCGATTTTCTGACAATATCTTAGCACACTGAATTCACTCGTCTGTACTAGTGGAGAAAGCACTTGACGCTCTTCAATCACCTAACACAAGCCAAAAGCAAAGTAGGTAACAAGTTTCACACACACACAAACAAAGAAACAAATATCTTTTCACGAATCAGTGTTATCTTTTTACCAAATTCAATGCATTTCTATGTGACTGTGCATGCCAGATGAAACCACCGCAAGTGTTTTAGACGATGCAATGACTGAAGGAAAAAGCTTTGAAGATTTGACTTGCAAGTTAATGAAACCCCCACATGAGAAAAACAAGAAACCACTTGTGAAAAAGCTGTGGTTTTGAGTCCATGAGCATGTCCACAAGTGTCATATCATTAGTGTAAACAACACTAGACGATCTAGTTGCTTCCTTTCGAAGGTTGCGGTTCTTTCCTCCACGGCTAGTTGATCTTGGGAATGTATTCTCATAGCTTTTGAGATTGAGAATGTCTCTGCATCCAGCAGTTATAATCCATAAAGGCTCATTTGTTTGTGTAAGCCTAAGCATTAACACTTTGGTAGAAGACAAAAAAAATCAAAAGCTTGAGCAATCTGTCTAAGCAAGGATCTATGCTCTTACAACACTGAGTGATAAAAATAAATCAACCTCAATTCTCAGCAATCAATAACCACAACTATCACTTTTTTTTTTGTGTGTGAGCAAGCCAAACCAAACCAATAGCGTCTGAAAACCCAAACCAATGTTCTTCCAGAAAAGGTTTCCACCTTTAACATGTCTCTTTCCTTTTCCAGATTTCTTCTAGCTGAAACACACATATAATCATCATCATAAGGGCCAATTCGTAAAGCAAAATGATATAATTCACTCTTTTTCCTTCTTCTTACCTTAGGATGACCTTGGGTTTCTTAAAAAAAGATGTCTCTGTCTGCAAGAAAGAGAAGAGGATGGAATATTTGTAAGAAGTATATAACCAAAGAGACAGAGAAAGAGAAATAGAAGCTCTTCAGCCATGGCTACAGGTTGTCTCTGCTGCATTCGTCTTTCTTTTATCGAACCAGAGGAGTTGGGGATCTGACAAGACGCATGAAGGAGTGAAATTGAGGGGTTTGCGAGGTCTTACGGAGAT